TCACATCCCAAAAATTGGAATTTTTCGGAGCCCACAGGAATTCCACAACCATGACATAATCACGGAGTCTGCTTCATCCCACACTCCAAATTTAGAATCTCCTTCTTTTGGTCCTCCTCCAAGGAGGTGGTGTACTTTCCCTTTCCCTTTCAAGTAAGTCTTCACAAATTGAGACCACTTTAGGTAGTTTTTCCCATTTAGAAGATAGGAAGGTTGCATGCTTTGAAGATCACCTCGTCTTTGGTGCACCATCGACTCCTCAGTTTGGTCAATGTTCTGGGAGGAATTGATTTATGACATTATGATAGTAATTAAGACTATCTGTATGTCTTTTGGTAGCAATGAAGGCTTCCAAGATTTTTCTATTCAACAATAAAGGTCGATTTTTTTTTTTTGGAAAAAGAAAATAAAAATTTCCATGTTAATTGAACCGGGCCAAGCCGAGTCTTTAAAGGACTCGGTTTGGGTACCTAGGGCACGCACATTGCACCTCTTCGATCGCAAACGCGCACGGTTATGCCTCTCCAGCTGCAAGTGGGAGCCACGCACGGGCGGCGGGTGTTCCGTTAGCGGCGGCTTCGGCGTCAGTGCGGCTAGGACGCAGGTCGTTCGGCTCGGATCAGAAGCAGACTAGACGTGACGAGAGACTTGTGTGGTCCTTCGGCTTCGTTGGTGAAAATTTTTAAATCATAAAAATTTATGCATGAAAATTGTGTAGTCTGTCCTCCCCTGATGCTATCTATGCCTTACATGGGACATGATCCTTTATGATTAACTAATCAATTCATTGCAGCTCTCACGGTGATCCTCTTTGGAATACTTGCAAAAGTAGTCTCTAGTACTTTTGTCACTCAAGTCTTGCTCTTGGAAACTCTATCACACTTAGGCTTCATTTGGGACAGCTTTCTTATTGCTTTTTAAAGCAGCTTCATAGTAGTTTTTGTACTAGGAAGCTGATTTAAGAAGCAATGAAAAAGCCGTCCCAAACGAACCCTTAGACTTCATTTGGGATAACTTTTTTACTGCTTTCTAAACCAATTTTGTTGTATTGAAAAGCTACTTTAAAAAATATTATTATTATTATTCTAAATGAAGCCTTAATGTTACCTCTTAATTAATAAGATTTATCATAATCATCACTAATAGGGATATATTACATTAATTTCCTAACAAATTTTAGTTAAACATGATGGAAACATGACATTTTTTTTATTATAACACCTTATTAATTACACAAATTGCCATTGGCATCACCCAATGACCCATGACGCAACATTAATTAATATGAATTGCCATTAGGGCTAACTCTTGATATTATGCCATTATGAGGAGTTCTACCTATTTATTCTCTTGCTATTCATTGAGTTCTTCTCCACAATGATCCATTCTATTTAATTCTCGTAGTATTGTAACGGTTGTAATTTTATTAAGAAACTTCAAAGTTAAGCATACTCGTGCGAGAGAATTCTTGAATGAGCGACCTCTTGAAAAGTTACACCAACGGGACAAATCTGTGAGGTCGTTAGGCTAAATTAGACAATATTTCGGTAGTTAATAATTTAGGTTGTTGCACATATCCTCTTCAAGAGTAAGTAGATTTTTTGTTAATGTCCAATGTTTGTAAATAGTCATGAATAAATTTTTCTAAAGATGTGAACTTTTCCTACTTAGACGGGAAAAAATTAAAGAAAATATATAGTGACAAAGCATATTTTGGATGTTATAACTTATTTAAGTATTTTACTTGTACGTGTACTAATGTTTTCTGATATGAGAGCGCAACCATGATATCCACGAGGTAGCTGACGAGTATGATCCTGAATTGAAAAGGTGGCAATATGTTTGGTCCTCCGTGATGATGTTATTGCTAGATATATTGAGTTGACCATTATCAAGTCATGATGAATCATACATAAGTTGACCCTTATGATTCATCATGATATCCTAAAGTTCAACTTAATTTCATGTTAGAATTGACTTATTTAATTAATGGGTTAGTTTCTTATTCATTTTTTTAACCCGTTTCAATATTGGGAGGATCTGCCAATCCAAAATCAACTTATTTTTTTCTGGTAACAATATATTTCAAGTCATGTACATTTCAATATTCCGAAGAGCCATTAAAATCATCTTTTTAGTATAAATGGGTTGACACATCAAATTAGGTTAAACGGGTGCCAGTGTGTCGGGTTTGAATCAAATTTATTAAATGGGTTAGCTTTGATTCGGATGGATTTCAGGTCCACTGAAAACCTAATTTTGACACCCATTAAAAAAATAATTACAAATTAATAAATAAAAGCTTACCAATCGAGAAAAAAAAAAAACATGGAAAAAGCTGTTGCACGTGAGACCAGCTAAAAAATGAATTTCCGGCCACCATTTGATCACACCGTTGATTTTTCAATTTCCTAACATCTGGCAAAACGAACGGCTTGATCTCCGTCAATTCGTATGGAACCGAAAATACCACATATTGGAACACGTTGAAATAATATAGAGAAGACGGGGAGAAGGAGATGAAGGGGAGAAGAAGAAGAAAGTCGAGTGGTTTTCAAAGTTCCTAACTTTTGATCTATCTCTCTCTTCCCATTTCTCTTGGTTTGCAATAAGGGGAAAAGAGAAGGTAGAGAGAGAGATAGAGAGCGCTTTGACCATCTCCTCCCACCATTAATGGTCCGTTCAAACCCGTCCTAATTCGCCTTTTTCTGTGCCTCTCCTTCCCCGAACCTTTCCACCTTCTGCCATTAAGACCGATCTACCATTTGTAATCCGTCTTATATATATGCCCTCTGAAAACCGTCTTCATCTTTCATTTTCTAGATTCTGATCTCCCTTCATGCTTGATCTTATCCCTCTATTATTCAAAGCTTGCAACTTTCTTGCTTGACGTAGTTTCCAGCTTCTAGTAGATCCCCCGCTTTCTCCTTATTTAGCACCCGGCGTAGAAGTTTGATTAATCGTGGTTATTAGGGTTTGCGTCCCAGAAACCTTGGAAAAAAATCCGATTTTTTCCTCTACGTTCGAAAAATTAACTCAGATCTTGATACGAAATGGGTAACTGCTGCGCCTCGCCAGTTGATCCATCAGAGAAGAAGGAGAAGAAGGGCAAAAACGCGAAGGGCAAGAAGCCGAACCCTTACTCAGTTGAATATAATCGAACGCCGATCCCGGGCGCCCTGAAGCTTACCGTTCTCAAGGAGTCCACCGGCAAGGACATTGGCAGCCGTTACCAGCTCGGCAGCGAGCTGGGAAGAGGTGAGTTTGGGATCACATATCTCTGTATCGATAAGGACACGGGGGAGAAATTTGCTTGCAAGTCTATTTCCAAGAAGAAGCTGAGAACCGCCGTCGATATCGAGGATGTGAGGCGGGAAGTCCAGATCATGAGGCATATGCCGCCTCATCCCAACGTTGTGAGCCTCAAGGATACTTATGAGGATGATAACGCCGTTCATATTGTGATGGAGCTTTGTGAGGGAGGAGAGCTGTTCGATAGGATTGTTGCCAGGGGACATTATACTGAGAGGGCCGCCGCTGCCGTTACAAAGACCATCGTTGAGGTGGTGCAGGTGAGATCATACTTCTCTAACAGCTTATCTTTAATCGGTATTTCCCTGAATTTTTTAAGAATGGTTTGGGTTAGCTTTTAGGGTTCTTGCAGGATGTTCTGTTGATGGTTAGAATGAATTTCTACTACTGATCTTTGTTTTGGTTGGATTATTCGTGTTAGATTTGACGGTTTCCATAAGTTGTTTTGGGTGTTTTCTAATGTAATTGTAGTACTTATTTTGTTTATAAAAATTGATTACTGTATTTTCATCTATGTTCTTATCTGTGCATTGCAGAGTGTTGTCTATGATCCTGCATTGTTCATTCTATTTTTTGGTGTTGATAACTGTTCAGATTGTCTACTACGGTTTAATAAACAGTTCGAATAGATACAAATTATATACATGTTGACTTATTCTTTAGCTTGCTTGATTTTCCCTCTAACCTTTCTTTGCCTTCTTCAAGATTTGTGTGATAAATTTCTTGGTATAGTTCTGCAATTGTAGTAACTTGTCTATTAGATTCTATTGGGAAAATATATACTTGTTAAGCCATAAAGATGTGATGATTGTTAGATTCACATCTTTCTCTTGTTGTTTATGATTTGCTACCTTCTTAGCATTGATGTCGAATGAGCGACTTGTTCGGTTCATGGTGTTCTTGGCCTGTTTATGTGCTACTATTTTGCGAGAGATTATTCTGTGCGGGCACTTCGTCCAGAGGCGAATCAGGTGCAACCACGTCATCCGATACCGAGCAATACCGTGCTCGATACCAAGCAGTACCGAGCTCGGTACCGAGCATTACTGAGTTGCGGTACCGATTAGGAGGTGACGTGGCGCATTTTCATTGGGCTCTAAAAAGCGTTCGGCGTGCGCACAGAATAATTCATCCTATTTTGCCAGCAATGAGTGTTGGTCTCAGTTTACTTTGTATCGAGGGAGGCTGCAGTGTTTATACCCCATCTTTTCTGATGTTTTACATTTTGCATTTTTGTTTCAGGTGTGTCACAAGCATGGAGTGATGCATCGGGACCTCAAGCCTGAGAACTTTCTGTTTGCCAATAAAAAGGAAACTGCTGCTCTCAAAGTTATTGATTTTGGGCTTTCTGTGGATTTCAAGCCAGGTATGTCTTTTGAAATTATGTTTGAATTGTGTTACAGCTACCTTACTGTTATTGATTGATTCTACCATAGATTCTAAGGGCACATGCTTCACCGCTGGACCTTTCCTTATTATAATGCCAATCCATGTTGTACTTGTAGAATGTGGTGTGAAACCCCTTAAGTAAAAGAAAGCTAACTTTTAAATATCCAGACACCTTTTGGTGTAATGGCTGGAGTTTTCGTAAGAAACTCCGCAGTTAAGCTAGGCCAAAGCGGACAATATCTCAATAGTTAAGAATTTGGGCTGTTACATGTGGGCTCTAAGAATTATACTTGAAAATAAACACCTTAAGTTTTTTCTTGAATTTTTTTTTACCAATTATGTTTAATGAGCAGGTGAGCACTTTTCTGAGATTGTTGGAAGTCCTTATTACATGGCCCCAGAGGTTCTTAAGCGCAATTATGGTCCAGAAGTTGATGTCTGGAGTGCTGGAGTTATATTATACATCTTGCTTTGTGGGGTACCACCATTTTGGGCAGGTAATTTTCTTCTAGAAGGTTTCAAGATTTACTACTCCGGCTATTAAAGTTTTTTCCCTTATTGATATTTCAATTTCAGAACTAAATGCTGATCTTATTTGTAAGATCTGGTTTTGTGAGCTTTGGACTTGTTGGAGCATTTCATCTGACCGTTAACTGTTTATGTCCAATGCAGAAACTGAACAGGGAGTTGCTCAAGCTATTATTCGATCTGTCGTAGATTTTAAAAGAGATCCATGGCCTAAAGTTTCTGATACTGCTAAAGACCTTGTTAAGAAGATGCTTGATCCAGATCCCAAGCGGAGGTTAACAGCACAAGAAGTGCTTGGTAAGCTACAGTTTGGAGCTTTTTCCCTGTATTTCATGTGTACAGAACGCTTGCTTTCAGAACCTTGAATGTTGTTTTGGCACCTTGAGACTTTATTTGATCTCTCAAACATTTGCTCATGTTCAAAATCAAACATTCATCATCGTCATCATCATTAACCTTATCCCAACTATTTCAACAAAAAAATTATAATAATTTTATTTCTTTATTTATCCTTCTATTTTCCAATACATTTATCTTAACATTCTCAATTCTAACATGCATAAGCTGCTGTTAGACCAGTCCAGTAGGTTCGACTGGACCGGCTTACGCGAACAGAGGCAGAACCGTCTGCCTCATGTATGTGCCGAACGCACGCCCAGGCGTGCGTGAGCGGTTTAGGAAGGATTTTTGAGGGTGTTAGTGTTGAAACTGAAGGAGTCTCGGTTCATGAGACCAAGAGCAAGAAGATGAAACAGAGATGTTACATAATCAGGAGAAGAAAATATTATTCAATGTAATAAATTCTGAGTACAACAGTGAACTATAAATAGAGTAAGTAGATGTCCTATACACATAGCCTAGAAGCTTCCTTGAAATACAAACGTGGAAAATATAAAATCTATTTATTCTAATAGAGGGAAATTTAATTTTAGGGACTGTTTAGGGATTTCCTTTTGATTTGTATACATTAAATAGTTTGTTTTCCTAGAGTTAGGGCATCTTGAATTTAGCTGAAATTTGAGATCTCTTAGGTTTAAGTTTCCTTTGGGCTCTAGCGGTGTCTAGAGAATCGGGAGAGATCGATCCTCCTCTCGAATTGAGGATCACTTGTATCTTGTTTGTTTTTCTTCCGTTAGTTGATTTTTCTCAATAAAGTGAACTGTTTTTCTTTGATTTTTCCTCTACTTGTTGAGTATACTCGCTGATTTTGTCAAGATCGTTATGTTTCGCTTGAGATCTTCAAGTGTTTCCTATTAGCTACCTATCATTGATTCCCCTATTGCCTAATACTCTGATTCATACGAGATAATTATCAAAATTTTGATTTTATAAATCATATTCTTTGAGTCTCATGAGGCATTCATTTTAACCAACATTCTTTTTGTCTAGTAATCATACCTTTATCTATATATTCATTCTTCTGTATAGATAGATTTGAGATAGTTAAACTTATTATAGTTAGTTATGTTTTTTTCTTCTAACAATAAGTTATCGGTAAACACTCAATAAAATAGCATTATCATATCCTCAATTTTTTATTTCATTAATCTCAGGTCGTTTATCTTTTAATTAGTTTCTCCATTGGTGAAACTTCTCTTTATATGATGGATGAATAAATATTGTTATGCTTTTCATTTAGCCTCCTGCTAGTTGTATTGCTCGTCCTAGTTAGACTTTCAGTCTCTGCATTTGACATTTCTAATGTAGTATTTTCTATTGCAGATCATCCCTGGTTGCAGAATGCCAAAAAAGCTCCAAATGTGAATTTGGGTGAGTCCGTTCGAGCAAGACTTCAACAATTCTCTGTTATGAACAAGTTCAAAAAGAGAGCTCTAAGGGTGAGATTCTTTCAGCTTACAAAAATTACTTTTCAAATTCAGAAATCCCAATTAGATGATCTTAGCACTTGGCAATAATATTGTGCCTGATTTGCAGGTTGTTGCTGAGCATTTATCCGTCGAGGAAGTTGCAGATATAAAGGAAATGTTCAAGAAGCTGGATGTAGATAATAATGGAAGAATCACTATTGAAGAGCTCAAATCTGGACTTCACAGGCTTGGGCATCAGATTCCAGACGCAGATGTTCAAATATTAATGGACGCTGTAAGTCTCTGTCATTCTCTTTCTTTCTCATCTATATCAATCTTGTGTTAAGATGTTGGAGCATAATCAGTTTTAGAGGTTCATTTTGTCCGTAAGTTTTCTTTGTTGTCATTGTCCCTTCTCTTGGATGTAGATTAAATGATCAAAATTGCCCATAAATTTATTACATGAATGCCTTTTAGTTCTAAGCTATTTCATTGTTTAATTTAGGCTTCGTTTGGGAAGCTTTCTTTCTCCTTCTTAAAAAAAGCTGTTTTAAGAAACAAAAAGAAAGCCGCCCCAAACGAAACCTTAGTCCCTCACTGCATGAAATCTGAACTAGTTTAATCCTATCATCAACCAGAACACTAACTATTTCAATGACAGGCTGATGTTGATGGTGATGGAACTCTTGAGTTTGGAGAATTCGTCGCTCTGTCGATACACATAAAGAAGTTGGGGAACGACGAGCATCTTCACAAAGCCTTCGCTTACTTCGACCAAAACAAGAGTGGATACATTGAGATCGAAGAGCTCAGTGATGCCCTGCAAGATGACTTGGGTCCCAATTATGAGGAAGTCATCAATGCCATCATAAGAGATGTTGATACTGACAAGGTTGGTTTATCATATTTATCATATTCTGTAAACCTTTATGCATTCAAATTATATATTATGTATGTTTTTTTTCTTATGATATTCTTCTTGTTGATAAGACTAGAGTGGGAGTTGAAGGTAAACTTGAATTATGGAGGTCAACCTTAAAGTCTATAGGTTTTCGCTTGAGTAGATCTATAACTGAATATATGGAGTGTACTTTTAGTAGTAATAGACCTAGTGAGGGGATTGTGACTTTGGACGATCAAGTCATTAATAAGAGTACACGTTTTAGATATTTTGGGTCTATTGTTCAAAGTGATGGTGAAATAAATGGGGTTATTATTAGCAGAATTCAAGTTGGATGGTTGAAGTGAAGGAGTGCATCAGGTTTGTTGTGTGATTGAAAAGTCCCCTTCAAACTTGAAGGGAAAATTCTATAAGATGGTGGTGAGACCTGCAATGTTTTATGGTGCCAAATGTTAGCCATTAAAAGAGAAGCATAATGCTAAGATAAGTGTTGCAGAGATGAGGATGCTCAGGTGGATGAGTTGCTTTACCCGTAGAGATAGGATACAAAATGAGCATATACGTGAAAAGATTGGAGTAGCTCCAGTTGAAAATAAGATTAGAGAGAGTCGTCTTAGATGGTTTTGTCACATAAAATGGCGTCCTTCCGATGACCCGGTTAGGAAAGTAGAGATATTAGATTTGACTTATGTTAAGAAAGGTAGTGGTAAACCTAAAAAGACTTGGCTCGAAAATATAAGAAATGATCTTTCTTTATTAGATTTAAATGACAATTTAACTTTTAACAATACGCAATGGAGAAAAAGAATTAATGTAGTCGACCCCACGAAGTGGGACAAAGGTTTGATGTTGTTGTTGCCATCTCATCATTCATATTTTTTTGAATTTTCCACCACAGGATGGAAAGATTAGCTATGAGGAGTTTGCAGCAATGATGAAGGCAGGGACAGATTGGAGGAAGGCGTCGAGGCAATATTCGCGCGAAAGGTTCACCAGCCTCAGCCTGAAGCTGATCAAGGATGGGTCATTGCAGCTGAAAAATGATGGTAGATGAACAGAACGAAAGAAGCCATAGTTGTGATATGAGAGAACTATCTTCTCTTCAAACTAATGGGCTATAAGATTATTCATTTGAGTTCTTTTGTTTGCTTTGTTTCTTTAAACTCTCCTATTCTTTACTATCTGCTGCCTGTATTCTTCTCAGTTTAGTTCAGTTGAGAACAGCTGAAGGATTCTCTTGTTTCTGGAGCTCAACAGCTCTTCTGTTCAACGTGCAAACTATGGAAATGAGAGTGTAAAAAGAAGAAATGGCTGAAGGGGCTGTAAATATGTAATGCATTGTTAAAGAATTAGATGACTTTGCCAAAAAAAAAATGGTCTTTTGGCTTTAACTTTATGGTGCTCTTTAGTTTACTGTTCGATTATGTTATGTATTGCTTTGTGAAAGGGGTGTAAGTGAGCCTTACGAGCTGTCGAGCTGAGCTTATCGAGAGCTGGGCTCAAACTCGAGCTCATTTAGTAAACGACCTGGAGTCGAACTTGAGCCGGCTCGGCTCATGAGCTCACGAGCCTGCTCGAATATAACAAATTATTTTATTTATTAAATTTAAATATTAAAAAAGAATAAGTTTTATTTAAATATTAAACATTGCAGCTTTTTTTCTAATTCTGGCTTAAGTTTTAAAAATCTTGTCTAAGTTTTAAAAATCCTAACTATAGCTCACGAGCCGGCTTGACCTCATTTACAGTAGGACGAGCTCGAGATCGAGCTCGCCTTTTAACTGACAAGTCGAGCTCGATAAGATCTAAACTCGACTTGTTTACACTCCAAATCACATGCATTGACCTTGCAAATGATAGCCCCATTAACCAAATATTAGGCACATCAAAATAAATAATCCATAAAGAAATATTTGGATAGAAATAAAATGTTCTGATTTCTAAAATAAATATTCAAAATTAAAATATATATAATTTTCTTAAAAAAAATTAAGTTATGATGTTATTTTTTATTTAACTATATATATTTTTAGCTTTTTTTCTCATTTTATGTTCAAATTTATTTTAAATATTTTATTGTTTTTGTTTACTATTTATGCGAACAATTTTTTTTTTCAAAAATATGAAGATAAATTATTATTATTATATTTTTAGTTTAAATTAAAAATTGGAAAATATGTATATTACATGGATGGACATAATTAAATTCAAAATTTTTAGTTTCCATTAATTAAATTATAATGATTAAATATTTTAAAGTAAAATCAACATAAGGCATTGTATTTAATGTTAATTACTTAATTTAATACTCATCATGAGTCTAACAATATTTCTTTATATTATATTTGGCACCTAATGAAAGTTGGCCAACCACTTATTATTTAATTATATTGCTCAAAGAAATTTGACTATGGATAATTGGTCGATTTTCTTGCCGGCAGTTGTTTTTTTTATTTGGAACAATATGTCTTCTCATAAATGGTTAATCACTTATATTTGTTTACTATTTTTTAATGTTTTTTTCTTAAAGACATTTGGGTCTATTAAGATTTAAGACAAATGTATATACACGTCACATACGTAAGAGTCGAACTCAAGATCTCTTTTGATAGCCAAAGCTCTTAGCCAACAGACTAATTTGAGCTGCGTGACGAGTTTTTAAAGTTAAAGTCTGAATTTAGTTTGAATTTCTTAGGATTCATACTATGGTTTGAATCTTGTTTCGAATTGATTCTCATTGGGAATTTATCATTAACTTCTCTTCTCCTTCACATGTCTGATGTCCCATGGATGCCCTATCATGAACTGCCTCTCTCCTTCATACTATATCAAATCTCGTTGAAGTATCTTCTCACCTCATTTCTCTCCCATTGTCGATCAAGTCGATGCCCCTCAAGAATGCCTCTTCTCCTTCACGTGGTGTAATATATATTGTTCATATGCCACTGAATCCTATGAATGTACTTCTTCTTCAGAAACCGTTATAAATAAAATGTCATTTTCCAAGACTCTTAATTGAACATATCATTTTGCTTTCTATTTTTTGCTACACCACTCACCTTAACTATTTCTTTGAAAGCCCTAATACTAAGGCTTCATTTGGGACAGCATTTTGGTGCTTCTTAAAGCAGATTGTTAATACAAAAATTAAAATTTTTATATAAAAAACTGCTTTAAGAAGCAGGAAGAAAGTTGTCATAAACAAAACCAAAATGTTCTCTACACATTTAAAGTTTATGTCAAATTTAGAAAAAAAAAATGATATACAACAATAATACATTCATAATCAATAGTTAACAACTAATTAACACACCAAACATTTGGTAACTTAGCTATCAATATCACTAATTAACCAATTTTTAATAAAAAAATAACCCATTTATAATTAAGTCATGCTCCTCTAAAATACATGAACAATAATGGATTTGGAAAATTTCGCAGTTTAATATAACAATTTATATAAGAAGGGAGAGATGTTCAAACTTCTTGAAATATATTTTATAAGCGAGAGAATGAGAGTGAGATCTTACTAAAAGCATTAACTGTCGATGTAGCGAACAATGTTGCTCATGCAAGATGTGGTTATTAATATTTTGCACACAATATCACTTATATTTTTAGAATGTGTAATATTATATTAGAAGAAAATAATGATAATTGTTGCGTCCCATAATATTCATGGCGGTAGAGAAATATAAAGTTTAACATCTTAGCATATTGTACGAAGATCCAGCACACAAACAGATGAAAGAGGGAGAGATAGAGCAACGTTCATAAGAGACACCAGCGTTGGATTCGTCTCGTCGAGCCGCTTGATTTGAATATAAGCATGTCATGTTTGGAAACAGTTTGGTAATCCAAATTATTGTTTGAACCTTCCAAATGTGGGATTTGGACCTATTTGGGACTCGGATTGAGTCGAATTTGGTGTTGTTGGGTTTGTATTTACGAGATGATCAGTTTTTTGAAATTGGAGTTTGGATGGTCCCAAATTAACTTCAGAAGATTCCAACTTGATTTTGCCTCAAGATTCGTCTCCATCAAAATATTTTTTTAATCATATATATATATATGAACAGATAATGTTAAAAATATGAAGAAGGATTTCTCTTACATCTTAAACCCACCGGCTGCATGCATGCAGCCCATTCCCTATCAGCGGTCGCTCATCCGACTAATTGCCAAATCATCAATACAACAAAACTCATACGCGCCACGTGTCCACAAATGCTCTCAATCCTCCTCAAACTGACACGTGGCAACCCTTAAACCCCACCTCATCCCTCCCCATAGGTACAAAACAAATCCACCCTACTCACCTCTTTTTTTTAATTATTGTGTTCGGTTAAGAGCTAATTTTTTATTTAAATTTAATATTTAAAGATTATTATTAATATTTTTAACTAGTATTTATAGGTCTAATTCTCACTTTCTTAACATAGTTCAAATCTAATAAGTCTACTCTTCTAATTGGGTCATCGAAAGGAACTTTTATTTGGTCCGGTGAACGTACGCAACTCTACGTTCGGCCGCCAGTAGAATCGTGCCACGCGTTTTCATTATTTACCGCGCGCCCCGACAACCCGACTCGGAACGGACCCAAGATTGCTCGGTATTGCTCGGTATTGCTAGGTATTGGTCGATTTTGCTCGGCAATAACCAATACCGAGCAATACCGAGCAAATACCTAGCAATACCGAGCAAATACCGAGTTGTACCGAGTTTTTTCTAGCAAAATCGAGCAAATCCCTAGCAATACCGAGCAAATACTGAGTTGTACCGAGTTGTAAAAAAACTCGGTACAACTCGGTATTTGCATGGTATTGTCTTCACAGAGCGGTATTTCTCATTTTTGCAAAGCAATACATAGCAAATACCGAGCAATACCGAGAAAATCACGAACATAGCATTCCCGGGTTCCACTCCGGGTCAAGTCGTTGGGTAAAGAGTAAGAGCACGTGCCGACATGTTATTGGCGGCCGAACGTACCTCTACGTCCGGTCAGAGGACGTAATAATTGTTCCATCGAAAGGCCAACATTTGTGTCCAAATCATCTACGACGACTCTCGCTAATATCATATTGAGTCATAATATTTAAAATTATATTACCATTTCAAAAAAATTCTTATAATTTAGGGTTCTCTTCTATAATTAATTTGGTTGAAAGAGTGTATACTTTTAGAAATGTTTCATATATTTATCAGTTTCGTTTCAGACAGTTTTATTGTTACTTTATAAAGTTGTTATAGAGAAGTAGCTTTTTTAAGCTATTGTAGAAAACAATTTTCTAGAAAACAAATTTCTAGTATGAAGAACAAAATAATAAGAAAGTTGTCCCAAACGAAAGCTTTAGGGTTCGTTTGGGACAACTTTTTTTACTACTTCTTACATCAGCTTTTTAGTATAAAAAAAATTATATTAAAAAACTGTTTTAAGAAGCAGCAAGAACGTCGTCCCAAACGAAGCCTTAATATCTGATATAAAATTAATGGATATAATGATTTGAGTTTAATAATTTTCAGAGCAATTTGCAAGAATTTGTCAAGGCTTTGCTTATATTGAAGAAAGTGAATTAAGGAAATGAAATGAAATTTCAAATTTCAACAATTTGAACCTTTCTTTTTCTCTAAAGTTATTAAAGGCCTAACTTTTTGTGTTGCAGCTGGAGGAAAACATGGAGTTTGAGAGGAAGAGGGAAATAAATGAGATCAGCAGCCCTAATAAAAGCAGAGAGAAGAAAAAATATAAGGGCTTGAAAAGCATAATAAAGTCATGCGTTCAAGGAAATCCCAAAACCTAGAGAGATTATTAAGTACGGAGTACAGACGGGGAGAACCGTCTGCACACTAGTATAAATTTCAGCTAGGTACCATTCGATACCGCTGGATACCACTAGGTACCGCTTGGTACCCCGTGTGTGTGCAGACGGTGCTCTCCCCGTCTGCACTCCGCACCTAATAATTTTTCCAAAACCTAAGCCTGATTTCAAAGAACTCTGTTTGTTTTTGCTTTCCTTATCGGCACTTCTGCCTTCTTCTTTTTTGATATATGTATATAGATCATAAAAATAAAAGTTTGTCCAATTTACTTCTTTGGCTTCTGTATGTTGATTTTCCAATAGAACAATATTATAGTTCGTTTAGGGTACTTTGTAGTTTGTACACACGACAAAAATTATTATGTGCAAGTCCGGATTCATCCGTAGATAAAAAGAAACGTCATATCGCCTCAAAAAATATACCGCGCTCAATATCAAGCGCCGAACCAGATAGTTCTTCCATCCTGTGTCCGCAAAGAATAGTCCTCAGGTATATTTTTTGATGTTTTTCAAAAATTTATTATAATAAATAGCAGTTTTTTTTTTTAATAACTTTTTCAAAAAATTTTAAAAATTGAATTTGCATATTTATCACAAAATTCTTATATATTTATATATTTAATACTTAAAATTTTATTCTCATACAATAGTTAAGTTAACATATTCATGAGATAAATTTATTATAACAGTTTTGTTTTTAGCATGACTTAAAAGATTAAAACGTTATATAAATAAATATAAAATATGCATATAAATACATACAAATTTATGATATATATGTAATTATGTAAATACTAATACTAAATACCAACACTATTTTTTAAAAAATTTGCAACTGCAACCACTCCAAATAAACTTCTTAAAGCAATTTTTATTAAAAAATTAAAAATTTTATAGCCGTTTTAAGCCTTAGGCTTCGTTTGGGATAACTTTTTTGCTGCTGCTTAAAACAGCTTTTTAATACAAAAATTTTAATTTTTGTACTAAAAAAATTGTTTCGAGAAGCGATAAAAAAAATTGTCCCAGACGAAATCTTAACCTCATATTAGGAATAACATTAGATTGTATAATATCTATCACAGAGAACATCAGATAATCAGAAGAAAAAATTGAAGATGACTAATTATCTAAATTCAACAGCACTGATTATCTGGATTACAAAGATCGAGTCAGAGAAAGTTCATCTCAAAACAACTTTACACATTCCCGAGTAAACTTCTGAAGACGAAGAGATGAATCATCACAGCCATAGATCATGAGCAATTACATCTTTCAAGCAATACAAACATTTCTGCTGATGAGCTTAAACACTGGTTGATGGAAAGGTGTTGGCATTTACATCCCAATGATTCAGAAGTAAAATTCTCTCCAGAAGTCTGGTTATTCAACTGCAACTCATTAGTGCTTCACATTTGGTATTCTGAGTGATCATACATTGTTCAAGAACCTTTCTGACTCTATACTGCAGCATAAATAATCCATCAAAAAAATTATTATTTGTGTGAAATAGATATAAGATCAGTAAGCGCATCTCCAACCGAAAATCTCATTTTTCACTCCACAGTGAAACTCAAAAAAACCTTGATTCATCTTCAGTAGAACTCCATTTCGCGGGCTTCTGCAAAGGTAACCGTACTTCTCCTGTTTGGCGTGTTTCTTAGGCAAATCCGGATGAGATAGAAAAATCGAGTGGGTGAGCAGTGCAACGTCAATATTGGCGTCGCACTGTTCACCGGCAAACAAATAATGGAAGATTTGGCGTTCGGCTGGAACGACCGAACAACGCCATGCGGATGTTTGGCTTTCGGTTGAAGATGCCCTAAGCATAATGAAAATAGAAAAAAATGACAAATGTTCAAAAATGGGACCTTGCAATCCAACCAGGGGTCATTCACCATGGTCTTAATTTGGAGTAATATGCCTCCCTCTTGGACGAGTCTTCCAACCCGAACGGGTGAGTTTATACCAGCTGGGTCAGTAAGGTTAAGAATGCACCATACGGCTGCTGTTCTGAGGAACTGATCCTTGCTCTGCAAGAAACTAACTATTAAGGAGCTGCAGCCTTCAGCTTTTGAAGGAATGAGATAACTGAGCACTGCTTCTTTATGAGATTCATCTCCAGCTGCAACGTTGCAGAGCAAAAGCATCCCCTGCAAGGTGTTCTTCGTATTAAGAAAAGATTTCTGTAAGCTCATTTGCAAGAAGAAACTAAGAAGTCAGTGGAAATCCAGATTACGCGGGGGTGCCGTGGGTGCTTTGGGGGTTGAGGTCTAAAAAGTTTCCAACGTACGAATAATCTATAATCTTGATATCACTAGTTCTAAATTTAATATACCAAAATAGGGTCACATCAATGCCCCCGTGAAAGAAAATGGTCAGGGAGGTAGCAGAATATGCCTTGAGTTATTCCCTTGTAGCCCTGGATCTAGAAGACCGGTAAATAGGAGTGTCAATATTTGGTACAATTTGAAAACCGAAAATTTCGGGTTAGGGTCAACCCGGAGCCGAAACGGGTTGGGTTCGTGTTTAACAATTCGATCCGTTTCAAAGATCGGGTCGGGTTAACCCTTTGACCTGAAATTGATCTGTTTTTTTACCCGAAAACTTATTTTTGGCCCGGAAATCCGAGATTGGCCAGTTTTCGACCCGAAAAGCGGAGTTTGACCCTTTTTTTACCCGAAAACTAGCAATTTCTTCATGCTCCCGGGTCAGTCGGGTCGTATCGGGTTGACCCGAATCCGAAGCAAGTCGGGTTCGGGTCCAAAAAACCGACCCGTTTGCAAAAACGGGTCGGGTTCGGTTGATCCGAATAGTGTGGGGTCAATTTCGGGTTTGTCCACCCGACCCTTGAACCGAAATTGACACCCCTACCAGTAAATCAACTTAATCAAACACGGGTCAACTCTTAAGCCTATTGATGCGAAAATGATCTAAGATTCATTTTTCAAAATAAAAAAAATGCTAAAATACATAAAATTACATATGGAATGAAAATATAGCAATTCTATTGTCATACTGTTTACCAGAATAGCCTAGCTGAAGAAATAAACTACTTTGAAGCATACTGATTAACCTAAAACAACGAGGTTCAATATGCTAGGAAGCTAAATTGATCGTTAGACCTGTTAACTTTTCTCAGCTAAATCGTAGCTGAAAATCTTTAAGCTCCAACAGAAATGAACAGAACTTTACCAGCTTTGACTGGATATTTTTGTTGTAATCATTGTTTCCATAAAGTTTCCCCTAACCGTACCATCCCTAGATAATGTACCCATAGTTCAAATCAAATGAAATTGTAAGGACACCAACCTGAATACAAACTTGGGTTGAATAATCACTTCTCAACTGTCTGATAACAGCATTAATAATTAAGCCATCTTCTGCAAACACAAGCCTGATAAAATCTACACATCCATGGATAAGATTGCTTACAAGTGCCATTGCCTGTTCCTGTACGAGATGCTCAGAATCTGTCAGCATAACATGTTTTGGTTAAATCTCGAGTGATTCTCTATAGAAAACAAGAGGGTCTAGAAAAGAAAATTACCACAAATCAGGCTAGCCAGTTCAGGTATGGTAAGCTCTGAAATAATGTTCTCTTTCCCGATTCTATCGGAAATAAACATTAGATTCCTCAAAGCGCAAAGAGATTTTAATCTTAGAGTAGGAACTATCGATTTGGATAACTGCACAAGAAGTGGCACACCGCCATATTTAACTAGCGCAGATTTTTTGGCAGTGAAATCAATTGCCACATTGCAAATAGCACCAAGCGAAGCTTCCTACAAAAAAAATGATGAAAAAAATAATAGAAAAGAGGCTCTTAGATTGATATAAATAAGAGAGCAGGCTTACAAGAGTTGATAGTTGTATAATGTTTAAACAGTTGCACGATTGAGGAAATGGAAGTTCACGTGCCTAGATGAACTACACATTTTACAGTAACAATTTCTTATGAAAATATTAAGTCATAATGATTTGGCCTCTAAAATAGAAATATAACCACTATAGAACCATCTCACCCAAACTCATCTAGTTCAACTTAAATTAACCATACCAAACAAAAAAAAATGGACCCAGAACTGTTTCTTCCAGAACAATTTCCGGTCCAGTTCAGGTTAGTTTCTATACAAATGATAATGGAAAATCTTTTATTCCATTTTTAAATCATAGAACAGAAACAAGGGATTATTTATGCAGAGAAGGACGAAATCCCTTTCCTCTTATTACAGAAAACCATGTCTTTGGAACCAAGAATAAAATATTAAAAATATGGATATTGGAGATAGTCCACTAAAAACTACTAAAAGAACCATAAATCTATTTATCATGTGCTCCCATAAATACTATAATATTTGAATTTAAATATTCTCCCTCAAAATATATGGTAGATGTTAATTATTCTCAGTTTAGAGCTATCAAGATTAAAGAGGTTGCAACAATGGCATCTATAATGGACAATATCTTAAAAATAGATCTAGGTGGTTCAGGCTGGAATGCCAAAGAGTACAACAAGATAAATTAATAAAGAGATAGATAGAATCAATAATAAAAGTATATGAAGAAAAATACCAATACTTCATATGCCTTGACTAGAAGCTACGAATGAAAAATTGCTTAAATAAAATGAACAAATGTAATACTTTATAGAATCAATGGAAAAGAAGCATTCATAAAAGATGAATAAATGCAGTTGGGACCACACTGATGAAAATGTTGTTCCTACTCACTGCTTATACGAAGAATGACCATGCAATTAGAAATCAGAAGGTCCTTATTTATACCAAATGACAATGTAATCAATTCTCAACCTCTTTAATACAAGCTTAAAATTGCTCACGAAATGCTCATTGGTTACACCATCATATTAAAAACCTTACAAGAATGAAAGAACTTTAAATAATTTTATGTACATAACTACTCAATCTACTATTCTTACCCATGCAATGCACACATTTATGTAGGTTTTATTTTTAAGCAACATCATGCTTCATCTTCATCAATGTAAAATAACAACATCAACATCAAGCCTTTAACCCAATACGTGAGTCGATCAATGTAAAACATTACAAGAAATTGAATAGAGTTTTTTTAGCTTAATCAAGTCGGTTCAAATCAGCTTTTTCTTTCCAAAAGGATAAAAAATTATCTCAAATATTTTATTAATTGAAATTAGGGTACAAAATTTGCTAAAGATAAAAAAGAGACAAGGTTAGCAACAAATAAAGAGGGACCAAGGCCAGTTATATACCAAATCAGCTTCCAAGTGTAGTAGAGTATATGGAAGATATACAGAAAACTGGGAGGTAGAAATGATGGGGACATCGGAGCTTGGAAAGTCTATCAAAGGCGCGGCCGCCGATCTACGTCCATGATCGCGCCAATATATTTTTAAGTCGTCATATGTATTTTTTTTATTTATTTATGTTTGTATTTTCTTTTAGTTATTTTGCCTTTTACCCCTTACTTAAGGGTGGTCATGTGTAAGCACAAAGGGCATCGTCGTCTTTTGTTTTTGAACCCATTGTATGAGGTTATATCTAGCCCTTATGTTAAAATAAATAAATAAATTAAAAAAAAATATCTAGCCCTTATGTTCTCTTTTCATGTTTAATGAAAAGAATGATAAAAATTTTTTCCGTGTTTGAGTTCTTGTGAGAGCTTGAGAGAGATTGGAGAGAGACCATTTGGAGAGGGATTTGAATCACCAGCCAACCTTGGAAGAGTCCGGATTCGTGGTTAGTTTACCTTTTATTGTTCTAATCTTCATCCTTTGTTCTTCCTCTAAGCCATGGTTCACCAATCTCCACCCGTCGCTTCATCCCACCACCACCACCTTTTCCAATCACTTTTCCCCACCTAGCTGCCGCCCCTCTCACCCAAAGCCCTATTCCAAACCGCCAGCTACCCCTTTGCTTTCCTCTCCCTCATCAATTTGTCATTACACCTTTCCTAAATTAGCTCTTCATATTTTAGGCAACTCAAATAATTATAAATTCAAATTTATTTGAATTTGAAATTATTACCTAAAATATAAATCTTATTTTAGGAAAGTTTCCAAATCCCTTCCTATTTGAATTTTAAATTAAATTGGGATGAGATTTTTCTTCTCAAATTTAATTCCTTAAATCAAGAAGACATTAAATACTTCCATAAACTCTCCCTTTCCCCCCAAGCCGCCAGCCCCCCCATTCAATTCCTCTTTGGAATTGACTCCAAAACTCAAGTTAATCTCTTGGAAATAATCAAGTCACCCCTTCCTCACTCTTGGCCGAAATCCCCATGCCCCACCTATTTAATTTCTTTCCAAAAGAAAGTCTCTCCCATTGGAATTAAATTAAACCCCTCTCCCTCTCTCTTGCCCGCCGCCCCCTCTCTCTTTCCCCCTCATTATTTATTCTCCATCAAGGGGATTAACTAAGAAAATATTTGAATTAAATCCCCTTCCCAAATCTGAACCTGTTTTCTCTCCTCCTCTCCTCTAAAAATCTGAAACTAAATTCTCCTCCATGCTCCCACCCTTGGCCGGCCACATCCCTCCCTCTTTCCCTCTTCAAGATAAACTCCTTCCTCTTAATAGGAGTCTTCAAGGAAGCAACGACGATCGTCTTCTAACATTGCAACTCTTCGGAAAAAATGAATGGCCGACCCCGATCTTGATTCCGGATTCATTTACAACGAGTCAACGAGCAAGGAGAAGTCGATATTCTCTAGTCAACCTTCTTCGACTTCAACCCGGAAACCGACAACTCCGTCGAAGAATACTTGGTCCGCATCACCTTCACACTTTCAAAAGCCGTCGAAGAACAACTTGTCAAAGTCCAATGGCAAATTGTTTCCGATCATCAACAAGGGTGAACTTCTTCACCTATTCATTTATCTTCTTATTCCGCTAACCTTGTAGATGGTGATCCAATCGCAAGGAGTCGTGCCTCGCCCTCTGCCTCCGCTTAGTAATCGTAGGAATTGAGTTTTACTTTCTCTGTTTCTAATCTCATTGTTAACGTAGGGATTTTATTGGATGACTACTTAATTCGTATTTTATTGAAATTCTAAATTTCTTTGATGATTCGAGTTCTTAGCATGTGATTTGGTCTAAGCGTAGCAACCCTTCGTACGTTTTCCATTATCGTTTAGTGGCTAATAGTCTTAATTGTTATTGTCTCTTATCTAAATTGTGCAAATTCTTATCACATACATCTAAAACATAGTTCTGCATAAAAAATATATAGTGTCAATAGCCTAAAATATGAAAAGTAACTTTCAACATCAGTAATAATATATGATAAGTAAGAAAACTGCTTGAAACCAGAGAATAAAGAAAAATATGTAAGTAACACTCTTTGGTCCAAACTTTTTTATTGACATTATCATAAATATGGGCGATCGTGTATGGCTCCTTCGGCCAGATCTAAGAAACAAAACCAATTTATTAATTTCTAGGTTTTGGAATCAACATCAAGATGCAAACTAGTTAAATACAATTGCCAAAGAAAAAATGTTAAAAAGAAGACCCGTCCTTGGATATGGTATAACCCATTTGGCATATAAATGGCAGCAACAACGACCTTAAAGATGATAGCAGCTACCCCTTGGGCGTAACAAAATGCACAACATGACAATAATCCACAAGGAAAATACATCGATTTACTAAAAGGCACACACCTGTACAGAAGTAGATGGGTCATTCAATAGCTGAAACAGTGGAATAATAACTGCTTCATTGGATAGACGGCCTGCACAAAGATTCTGAGAACCTAAATCCATCAATAAAAGTGGAAGCCTACTTGGGTTCATGCAAATATAAGATTAGTTCATGTTACAAACCTTCACAGACCGAGAAATGTTCCTTATGCACGTACATGCTGCAATGCGCACTCCAGCAGACACATGTTTTAGTGCATCGACAATTGTATTCAAGAACTGAATTCAGTAAATCCAAAGTCAATCATTGTATTGTTAGCAAATCAATACAGGTTTGCATAACATGATCTACAGTACTGTTAATAGTAATAACACAACATTGATATAATTGATAAAGTTGAAAGAAAAATTATTTAGGTGAATATAAAGAGTGATAATATGATTTATATAGACTTAATAAATGGTAAGGACATCAAAATGTCGTTTGATGTTCCTCAAGTTAGATTTAAAGAACTTTAAAAATTTTGAGAAGAAGCGAATAACAACATGTAGTAGAGGACGAAAGAAAAATATTTATGGTTGCATAAATGAATGATGTTTAGCAGGATGTGCTATGAGATGATTCTTGCAAATATAAAATTTGAGATAGAAATATGATTGAGAGGAAAATTGCATTGCTATTAGAGAATTAGTTTGGTTTTATGTTGGAATGGTAAGCTTTGGAAGCAATTTTTGTTAAAGGTTAACCAATGGAAAAGAAACTTTATCTTAGTTTTGTCCATATTGAAAAGGGCAATAATTGATTTTGCGAGAATCAAAGAAAAATATGTACCAAAGCTATGTTAAACTTATTCAAATATGTATGTTGAAGTGGTGATTGACAAGAAAAATAGTTTTTGAGGGACCAAAAAAACACTCAAACATAAAAATTACATCAATAATAAGTGTCAAGTCTTCACCTTAGTATAATATGTAGATGCTAACAAAAGATATTAAAAAGTGAGAAATCTTAAAATATACTATTTGTATATGAAATAATTATGTTAAATGAATTTATTTTTAAAGGTTAGTAACTTAAGGATGAGCACATTATATGCAACTTTGATGATTAAAATTTGATCATAATAATTGGATAGAATTCAAAAAATCATATGATAATTAAGTGTAATAAGTTTAATTACATAAGATATATTATACAAAAAAATTGGGCCAATAAGTAAATTAATAATTTAGTAAGATAAGGATGAGTGGGTAAAATAAAACAATCTCTAAGAAGTATTGATCTATAAAGAGGGTCATAGAGAATTTAAAAAGATTTCTGCAAAATATAATTAAATTGTCTATGAAATATAAATCTAAGCTTCGGAAACAATGAACTGGCGACACATTTAAGTGTAATAAAAATAATAATCTTAAAATAAATGTATGGTAAAGTATGGGTAGAGTAAGAAATGGCTATGTTGGAGACACAATAAGAATAATACCTATGAAAGATAAAGTAGTACATAATAGGCTTTAATAGTTTAAACATGCAAGGAAAGTATGGAAAATGCACTAACAAGAAGGTAAAGGGTAATAATGTAAAAGGATTACCGACCGGCCCAGCGCAACACAGGCGGAAATCTTCCGCCTCTTCAATAGTCGTTCGGACCACAAGAGCCAACCGAACATTTTAGGAACGATTTTTTTAGGGTTTTGGGAGGAAAATTTGAATGCAGGGACTGATTAGGGATTTCCTTTTGATTTGTATGCATTTGATAGTTTGTTTTCCTAGGGTTAGGGCATCTTGAATTTGGCTGAAATTTGAGATCTCTTAGATTTAGGTTTTCCTTTGGGCTCTAGCGGCGTCTAGAGATTTGGAAGAGATTGGTCCTCTCGAATTGAGGATCAACTGATCTTGCTATTTTCCGTTTCTATTTTATCAAATAATACAAATTATCTAATGTTTTCCTGTTTTTGTATGTATTTTGGTGGAGAATTCTCACTGTTTTCCGAATATTGATAGGAAATACTTGAGATCTACAAGTGCTTCCTATCAGAATATTGATAGACAATAATGTCATTGCTAGAAGTTATGCAAAATAGAGTTAACACCTAATGATGCAAATATGACAATATATACTCATCGGATATCCAAATCATGCACATTTTGATTTTGCATAAAAAAATATTAATATTTGCCTAATCTAAGAGCGCATGGAGAGCAGAATTTGATATTTATATGCATCACATACTAAATTTGCATGAGAACCCTAGACCTCAAGACGTCTTCCATCATCATCTGAAGCACTAAAAAAAATGAATGGAGAAGCATGCTTTGTAAATCCAGCCCCAAATAAATGCGTTAAGTTTGTTGAAGATGACTATAGAAACATATTTTTGTCACAACTTGCTGGAATACTCTCAGCATATTAAATAGATGTTAAATAGAATGGTAGTTTTGAAATGGGTAAGCTTCAATTATAAGGAGTTTCACACAAAGATTTGGGTAATACTTTGGCGAAATTCCAATGTCATGTAGTAAACAAACCCTAAATAATCTGCACTTATTTGGATGCAATCAAGATTGTTTTTATCTTTTGAGTTGCTCAGGTAGCATAACAGGTAGCCAAGGCACTAAAACTTTATGTATAGTAAGAACCTCGTGCTGATGGTGCTTTTCCCAAATATTTTCTGTAAGAGTTCAATTGTTCGATCAATTACAAGATTGAGCCAGATCAAATGATCAATTACAAGATTGAGCCAGATCAAATAAAATGGAAGTGGGGCAGGGCAGTGCAGCTATTGACAATCAGTGCTCATATTAATTCCTTTAAAAGAGTCCAAAAGTGTAATCCACATAATGTTAAATATGATTAGCGGGCAACTACAATGGTGAAATACGAATGTAACATGAAAACCACAACAAAAAAAATTACAGTTTATGATGTCCATAGAAACAAAACAAGCTGAAACAGCTGCTTAAGGCAAATATAACTATTATAGAGATCTCTTGCTCTTTCCTTAAAAAAAAAACTAATGCCGCTAGCATTTAATCAACAAGGTATGAGAAATCTTATGCGCATCAGTAAAGAAATGGCAATTAAATTTCTAAACCAGCAATAGCCAATACTCATATGACCTGCATTAAGAATGAACAAATTTCTCCGACTGAGTTTGACAATTTAATATTCATCACGAACCAAAATGGAGCCTGAGCACTCTCATTTTCAGTAAATTACAAACAAGAAAAATGAGAAAAAACCTGTTTTGCATTCTCAACTTGGTTGAGGAGAGGAAAATTCAGAAAGTTATGGGCCTTGGTGTCTAGTAACTAGAAGAGAAACCAGGAAACAAAATAAGAACACTTCCAATGAAGGTCTCCATAAACATTGATCTCTCCAACAGACAGTTGAAATTTCCCACTGAGACATTTCTCCATAATCCAACTAGGCGCCAACCAAGAAAAGCTAGTCTCTAAGGTTCATTTTGATAAGGAGCTTCAACGTTTGGAACCTATGGAAAATCAACCTAGGAAGCAGAAGAAGAAGGGGAAGGGTGGCGGAGAGGACTCCCACTTTGGTGGTCAATGTTGAGGTTCTTTATTGGGTCTTGTAGGGGGCGCCACGACATAGCTAAACCACTGTCGGAGCACTGGGATACTTTTCAATCTTTTGAGCTATTGCAACCCTTCTAAAGGTATTCCCCCCTCTGTAGTGGACCCTAACTAGATTGTTTGGTACTTGCTACAAGCACTTTGGTAGTCTCACATTGACAACAAAACATCAGTTTTTTGTTTCTTTCTTCATGGAATGTAAGGATGTATGGAAAGTTAAAGTGTGGATTGTGCTTCCCTCTCTTTTGTTTTATTTTGTTGAGGGAGGTCTCTTTTTTAGAGGCTCCATATCATATTGTACTCATTGTATATTTTTTGCCTTTATTTTAAAGTAATGCAAATGCAAGTTTCAAAGAACCAAATCTAAGGTTATAAACAATTACAACATATGGATGGTGATTTAAAAATTATGTCTATACAAGAACTTATCCAGAGGAGAACACAAACCTGCGGAGAAATTAACTGACATCTGCATATTTCTGACTTGGAGCAAAGTTCAGCTAATGCAAGCAATATTCCCTGAAGACGTCTTGGTGGGATTGGACTCTTTTCTAAGTAGTTGCAAAGCTTCTCAACTACGTTTATGACAATTGCCTGTAGTTGAAGCTCTTCTTTGTCTGTAATTATATCTAGAAGTGCAAAGGGAGAATCATCTCCAACATGGCTGGAATCTTCAAGAAGTTCAACAAGTACAAGCATAAGATTGGTTTTAGTTTGCAGATCTTGTGCATAGCAGGAAAGTTGTCCAATGGCAATCAAGCACATGCAGGCAAGATATCTTGTTTGAGGATATCGGTCATGTATTAGCTCAGTTAAGGCACTCAAAGCTTTTCCATTCTCAATAGACGCAAATGCCATGGCAACTTCACGGTTATTTTTAACTATTGCAACTATAGAACCTAAGCTAGCATCTCGTTGATTTAGAGATCCTTCAAGCAGGTGAACAAGTCTCTGCAAAACTCCAGCATCACAAAGTGCATTCTGCTCCTCATTTTTGTCACAGGAGTGTGCAATGATCCTAACAGCAAGTTCAATCGCATTCTCATTGTTGCTATTAAGGAGTGAAAGCAGAAACATCATGTTCTTGTTCCGAAGGACGTCATATTTGGGTGCAAGCTTTGATTGGAATATCATTCTAAGTGACCGTGCGCCGGCATCAATGACCTGTTAACAGCATAGACAATCTATGAATTATTCAACCAATAACAGGTCAACTCAGAACTATCCCTAAAAACCAGAATGTTTCACAATAAGCTAGAAATGTTTAGCAGAATGATAAGAAAATAAATAGGCATGTTTTTGGAGGGAAGCTTGGGTAAGGTTATACACTCACCTTTTATCAATAAGGACCAAATTTGTTTTACAAAGAGAAAAATCATAAAATGCAGTTTTTTGAAAATATAGAGCATTGACCACTACAACAAACATCAGCACTAAAGATAATAACAGCATAATGCAAAATAAAAAAACAAATCAATTTATATTATAGAACTAATTCATTTTGCATGCGCATGGTAATTAATATTTGCAAACAAAAATAACTGATCTTAATCATTTTAAGTACAAATCCTAATTAAATGATTTATTATTTCTTAATGTACTATTTTTAATATTTATAAATGATTATGTCATATATTTTATTATTAACATATCTCGTGTTCATGTCATGTCAATATCATCGTGCCAATGTTCATGCATCATATTTGCCAAAATGTCAAAATGGTAATCGTTTTGTCGAACGCTACTCTATGTGCCAAACCTATAATGGTAATACACATAAAATTGGCTTGTATACTCCTCTCCCAACCCCCCAGACCCCATTTGGGAAGATTTAAGTCTAGGCATCGTGTTAGTACTTCCTGGACTAGTCATGGCTTAGATTCCATCATGGCTATAATTGTTCGATTTTCAAAGATGGCTCACTTCATCTCTTGTAAGAAAACTTTTGACATGCTTAATTTGCATGCTTCTCTTCAAAGAAATCATTTGCTTACATAGCTTGCCTCACAGCCTTATGTCCGATCGTGATGTTGAATTCATTAGCCACTTTTGGAGAGAATTGTAGAACCATTTGAAGATGAAGCAGAAGCTCAATTCAACTTATCACCCATAATCTAATGGTCAAACAGAAATTTTCAATCGAACTCTTACAACATGTTAAGCTGCCAGCAACACTTGAAAAAATGGGAAGAACAGCTTGCTTAGACTGAATTTGCCTATAGTTTGATGCCAAATCGATCAACCGGTCAAAGACCTTTTAGTATTGTTAACACCAAGATTCTTAATCACTTAATTGATCTCATGATCATTTCCAAATGATGCAGTTCATTTGCAACAAAAGCAGGTGAGCAATTCATTGATATGTTGAAGGATGTCCAAGCAAATCTTTAGGCTACAAATTCTTCTTACACTTACGCAAAGAGAGATTTCCCCAAAACACGCGTACTCCAAACTAAGTCCACAAAAAATTGGCACATTACCCGTTCTACATGACATCAATGATAATGCTTATATTCTGCATCAAGAAAATGCTTATATTATTGACAACCCCCCCTAAATTCCTCACTTCATTTACTTTCAATATTGTCAAAATCTACAAGTATAACCATCCTGACAACGCCAATATGATTATAGGATGCGAGGACTTGAAAGTGGGGGAGACCTGATGTGGATATTACCGCTACTATTCAGTCTCCATTACCATATTAGTAGCTTTATTCCTTTACCACTATATAGTATGCTCTCCACATTTTATTTGTTTTGCTTAAAGCAGAAAAGAATATTAAGTTACAATATAAATACCGAAAATTGTAGTTGAATAATTATTATCAATACAATCCAATAGTTTTGTTGTTTCATTCTTTTCTTTTCGCGCTACGTGCCTCATCACATGGGATCCTATTTACCAACTTTAAGGCATGGATGACTCTCCACAGAACATCAATACCTCCAAATCAAAGGAATGTTGCCTTCAGCAGCCATGATCCACATGAAAAGAGGCCAAATTTTCTAAAGGAGGAGCAAGATGGTGCTCTAGATGAGCCAAGTGAGACGAGGAAAAATCATGAATACGCGCCACATCTTCAGAGCTGAAGGATACAAATCTAAATCCTCCCATCAATCACATACTGGAAAACAAGATAATAAACTTCCGTGTTCAACTCATTCCGAATTTTGAAACGAGCATTTCAAACCAATTTCCCCGTTTTCTAGACCCAACATACTATAAAACGAAATATTCCCTATCAAGTCATGTAAACATACCGAGCTCCATAGCACAGAACAATACTAATCAGAAAATAACTTTTTTTTTTTAAATAGCTAATATATAGAACAAATGCATTTAACAATCCTTCCCCAATTGGCATTCCAATCCCACACCACACGCATTTTCACTACAGTCACAACTCACAAACTATTTCCACATACGTAAGAATGCGAACACCAACAACAAATCGAAATCACCTTTTCATCTGGATAGGACAAAATTCGAATAAGATGCGGAACAGCACCAGCCTCCACCACCGCCCGGACCCCATCCTCCACTCCACACGAGAAGCTGCCGATAACGGCAGCCGCCTGCACGATGATGGCCGAATCACCGCCATCAGAAGCGAACGCGGCGAGCACTGAGACGATCTTAGGGACAGCGCCGAGATGAAGGTATCGAAGCTTCTTCGTCTTGTTTCCAATTATCTGGTTCTTAACCTCCCGAAGGACCTTCAAGAGCGCTTCTCCCTTACCCACGCCACCCACCTCGCTTAATCTCTCCGTCAGGTCCTCCGGCCGGTTGCTCGCCGCCGTCGTTGGCATGTCCGGTGACCGCAGAGAAATCCCTAGGTAATCTTTGATCTAAACCGTCATCCGGCGTCGATGGAATAAAATTTGAGAGGAGAGGAGAGGAAAGAAGAACACAATTAAAGAAAGAAAATGACCTTATGGTCCTTTATCTAGAGTGTAGTCGAATGAAAGTACTTTTAAGGGAAAAATTTATTCTCGTTAATTATTTAAATAAAATAAATCTTAAATTTGTAAATATAATAAATGATTTTTATATATTATAATCATTTTAAATATATTTAAATTTTATTTATATTAATTTTTATGAGGACATAAACATCAATATCAATATCAAAGCATTTATCTCACTACATCAATTGACATAATAAAAAAAATTATGTTATATAATATTAAAATTCAAATTTTTATTTAAATCTAATAAAAAATATTATTTCAAATACTTTTAAGTTTACCTCTATTTTCTTAATATTGGCGATATGGTTGATCTAATACATCTACTCATCTAAGGATGATCTAATACATCTACTCACCTAACGAGTTATAAAAGAATGATGATTTTTATGATCAAATCATCTAAGGTGATCCTCTCTAATCTTACTTGCTATTGGAGTTACTTATATATATATATATTTGTTTCACATTTTGTCTTATGATTAAAATTTAAAATACTTGCTCATCTGCGGATCGTGATCTACGCAACACTTAATTTAATTATATGCATCTCTTTTAATGGTCATCACCATCATCATACAAATTTATATTAAATTATAATTTTAATAAAAATAAAAAAAAAATTCATCAAGATAAAAATGAAATTTAAATAACCTAAGTATGCAGTATAAAAGTAAAGGATACTATGATTTACCGTAAAAAATTCAAATTAGAGAAAAAAAAATACATATGCACACCACACCAAGAAATCCATTAAGAAAATTGGGAGGTATAAGCACAAATCTCTTTTCTATCTCACACTCTCACTCTCTGCTTGCTTCTCTTCTCATATGCGTCATTCTCACTCTTTCTCTAACTGAAAATACAAGAGAAAAGCCAAGTAAAATAACTCCAAGGGACGCAACCCTTCAGAAAACGAGAAAGAACTGTCCAACCCTTCTCGTAGCATCGCAAAACCAGTTTGGGGCACTTTGGTGCTCAAGACTCTACCTTGCACCGCTTCAGCGCCATATTTAGGTTTCTGCGGTGCTCTGCTCTCTATCGTTCAGAGCTGGGGCGCTTGGGAACACAGCACCGGGGCATTAGGTAACGAAGCATAGGGGCTTTGTATGGAAAAAAATCATAGTGCAAAGTACCTGAACCCAAGCAGAGGGGTAAACCCCCCGCACCCCCTAGTGTACATGACAAGCTTTGAGGTCTGAAATAACAGAACAGCCCGATTGATCAACACAATCAGATTCCACACATAACATTAATCAGTTTGATTAAATTATTATTCTCTAAATAATTTGAGTTAATGCACTATTTATTCATAAAATAATTTTTTATGTCTAACTTGTCACGGAAACACTAACCAGCCCCTAATCATTGGAAGAAAATTCTAATCATCCTAACTAATCTCAACTAACTTAAGCAATCTTATCATTTATTAACAACAGCTTTGACATTTAGCGATGACCCATAATCGTTAGCCTTGTATCTCGCCTAATCCTTTTGGATAAATCTTTTGGTTTGATGGGCCGATTTATCTTGTTTAAAACTCTTAATGGGCTGCAACTAATTACAAGTGGCCTTTTACCAGCCCAAAAATCAGTAGCTAGGTCTTTTATGGATTTTTTTTTTAATTTTTTTTTAACAATAAACAAATTTATTCCAAAAGAAAAGGATATACAACCAAAGGCCAAGAAAAGCCAAAAAAGGAACGACACAAAGCTGAAAGAAAGCAACATTCAGCCAAAACCAGCAAAGTAAGACGCAGAAGAAAAAATAATCCGAAGAGTTGGACTCAGAATCACCACCCAGTTGCAGGCTCAGGCCATCAATTTGGAGGAAGAATAACCATCATCGAGAGAAACCAAATACGAAATCCATCGACGAATGCACCGAAAAAGGATCCACTAAAGTTGCCACAACAAGCCATGACCTTCCAAAGGGGGGTGTGCAGGAGACCTGCCTCATCATAATCCGTCAAACCACAAAAAACCAAACAACACCAATTTGCCAACAGAATAATAGTATGTATTAAAAGAAACCACTGAGTTACTTCTTTTTAGCTTTTTGTCTACATCGCTTGCCACCACTCGGGACAAAACGACTCACTTCCAAATTATACGCATTATCATCTATAGTGCCAACTTGAGTCTCAACATCCTCACATTGCGAAGAAGAAGAACTATTCAACCAATCGTTTTGATCCAAACACTTGCACTTAACTTGAGCATTCAAATCTTATGAAGAAATCAACTCAATATGAACATTCACCAACAACACAATATATATAGAATTATTTATAGCCAAAACCTTAGCAGCCACACAACTATCAACAGGAGAAATCCCACCCACAGGTGACACACACTCACGATCAGCTGGGACCGAAAGGGCAACATCGAAATTTGCATTTTCGTCATCACCTACCTCAACATCAGAAACATAATTAATAATAGGACATACTACTAAATTATCCAAAAAATTGCTAGGCTTTAAAGCCTCAACCACTCCCTCATTAATTTCACAAGAATGAGTCAACGATAAATCATCCAACATTGAAAAAGCTAACCCTTCAACAATAGCAACATCCTCGGTGTTGCCATTGAAGTTATGCAGAGCTAAGATATTATCCACGCCGATCTCCCCATTAACCCCAACCTCATTAATACAAATAGGGTTAACAGTGGGAAAAGAATTTTCCGCAGGACCACCAACAGCCACACCCTCATTAATGTCACCAGCAACCACATTAACTCCCACAGCATTAACCATCTCACCAAAATTTTCTTATTAGCCGAATCAAACAATGGATTAGAAGAACGACATTCACCATGTAAATGACCAATCCATTTACATTGCACACAGAAAATGGGAAAACTCCATCACAACCTGTTGGACATAACCAAGCTTTTCAGGACCAATCCAAACTTTGGCAGAATATTTTTTAGTAAAGTCAAACTCTACTAACACATGCGTAACAGAGGGACGGGAGCCAACAGAAGTCACGCGATCCAGCTTTAGCGGACGGCCAAATAAGGATCCCAATTCGTGGAGGACGCGGGGCGAAAAAAATGTAGCTGCAAGTTGGGGAAGGTAATCCAAATAGGTATGACAGGGGACTCGACACTAATGTCAAGAAGAGGAGACCATTTGGTCACCTTCACGTAACAATTGCTAACAAATTATGACATGTGAGAAGAAACTCTAATATAGTAAAGGTCATTTACCAACTTAATCAACACATGACAATGATCCAATAAGGTTACAAAAAATTTCCCAATATTGAGCTTAAGAGCAAAGAAAAACTTTTGAATAGTGTCAAGACTCGGAAGCTTGGAGGGAAAGAAACCAACCAAAGCAAACTTCAAAGGAGCCACAAGGGTGAGCACCTCATCATCCGAAATCCAAAGGGATGGTAAATCACGAAAGAACGAATGCTTGAGATCGAGAAAAGAAGCATTATATGAAATACCGGACAAAGCTTCAACAAAAGAACAAGATTTAGTCGAACCCCCCAAAAAACTAGGCTCGGCCCAAGGCTTCGCCATAGAGACGACAAAACAGAGCAAAATGCGAAAAAATGGAGAAGATAGGACTTAATTTTTTTTTTCCTATCTTAAGCTCAAAGTCCAATTTAGGGTTTTTTTAATAATTTAATGAAAATTTTAAAAATTATCTAAATAAAAAAGGTAAAGTCACATTTTTTTTTTATTTTTTATAAAATTCATAATAGAGCTTTTCTCCTAAAACATAAATAAATAAATAAGAGAGCCACATTTATGTATAACTACTAAGTGATAATGAGAGGGAAAGCTCAATACAAAATTCTAAAATGACATAAGAGCTCTATTTTAATATGTTACATTAAGAATTTATATATAGAGAAATCATTTCATACAAAATTTTTTAAAAATTTGGATGAGATATTTTCTCTCTCTCTTTCTGTTTTCTTAAATCTAAAATATTAAAAAAATTAACACACCAATTTAAAATTTGAAACTATAGGTTCCATTTGGGACATATTTTTTAATATTTTTTAAATATACTTTTTAAAACAAAAATTCATTGAAAATAAAAAAAAAATAGTAATTAAAAGTTGTCTCAAACAAAAACTTCTGAATTTGAAATTTTAAATTTTAAAATGATATTAATTTGCACATTTGTATTTGAAACTATAGGTTTGTAAAATTTAATATGAATTTATAAAAAGTTTTACTTTTTTTGTTAAATTATTTTAAGAATTATTAACTAGAAAATGACAAAAACTAATGCATTTTATAATATGGATTGTATGTAAATAATCAAATTAAGGTTTCATTTGAAACGACTTTTTTGTTGCTTCTTAAAACAGCTTTTTAGTATAAAATTTTTAATTTTTATATTAAAAAGTTGTTTTAAGAAACACTAAGGTTTTGTTTGGGACGTCTTTCTTACTGCTTCTTAAAGCTACCTTTTAGTTTAAAAATTTTAATTTTTTAAATAAAAAGCTGCTTTAAGAAGCAGTAAAAAAACAGTCTCAAACGAAGACTAAAAAAATTATCCCAAACAAAATTTAAATTATTAATTAATTAAGAAGATGATTACTGAAATATATCTTATGATCCCATTTCAAAAGATTGAATACTTCGCCTCCAAGAAATAAAAAGGAGCCAACGAAAAATTTATCAAAAGAGTTGCAACTGAAGACAGCACTTCCTGCTTTGAACTTTTCTTGTTAATTATAGTGATGAAAGTAAAGCTTCATAATCACTTATTAGTTATTATATTATGTTTTTTATTTTAATATTACATTAATATGAAAATAAAAATAATTTTTTCTTACATAATTTATCTCTTTCTCTCTCTACCTCTGTGCCATATAACATTAATTTTGTATATAAGAATAAATTATATATTTAATTTAACCTATTAATTGAGGTTTAATGATGTATTTGATGGATATGAATTGTACGAACATTTTGACTATAATATTAATAA